GAAATCTTTTCCATATATAATTGATTTCAACATATTTGTACAATATTCAACGTTTTGCTTGATTATCTTTCATAATAAAACATGTATATGATGTATTACTCCTGCTTATGCTTGTATATGATGTCATAAGGTCTCTGCAACTACATTGTAGATTATGGCATGAGAGTTTCAGAGAGGCAAAGATATATGTTAGGTAAGATTTAGATAGTCCTTATAGTCTTGGCTTCTATGCAGATTGATTGACTAATGACAGTCGCTTGATGTCTTGAACTTAAAGAGAAATCATAATAATCATATTGGTCTGGTGCACGGAACGAGAACTCATTTTTGAACTCCAAAAGAGCATCCCTTTGGAGAGTAGGAGAAGCAAGAGTGTTGAATATAATGGAAAGAAAGAAGAAAAAAGATTGGATCGGAATATCATCCTTCTTCTTTTTTCTTGAGTTTTGTGTGGTGAGTAATGAGTTGTCTAATGCTTATGGGGTCTTTTGTAGAGACTTGGCTTGGAAAGTCTTGCGTCAACATGTGACGAACTTTCAGTTGATTTGATATGTCCTCTGTGATCAATGAATTGTCTCACACACTCCCCCTCACTTGGCTCAAAAGTCTAAAAACGAGAATAGATCATCCTTCTTTTTTTCTTCTTGAGTTTTGTGGTCAGTAATGTGACTTGTGTAATGCTTATGGCGCTCCATTAAAGAGGTTTGGCTTTGAAGGTCTTGCGTCAACCCTTGTCAGATTTTGCAGTTGATTTGTCAAGTCTTCTGTGATCAATGAATTGTTCCACACTCTCCCCTACTTGGCTCAAAAGCCTAAACCATTGACTCATCTCCACCTCTCCCTTGCGGCACGCTATTATTACTTTAAGCCACTTAATTATTGTGATTTTTTTTCAGATTAAAGTGCACGTCTCTAGGCAACACGTACCCCAAGTAATCATAGTGCTCACTGCTCACATTCTAATTCCCAAACCTGACCCTCTCTCTCTCATACTCATCCTGCCATCAGAAAACACGAACATTATCAATCTGGACTTTACCTGAAAGATACTGCATTTTCTTTCAGTAAGAGTATGTGATACGGAGTGTATCTAGCTTTCATTTTGTCCAGTATTCACATAATTAATTCCATACCAAACTCATGCAAATACATTCAATAAAGTTAAGAGGACAAAGTTGTAAACTATTATGAGAAACCTACCTCGTATGACATACTCTTACTGAAAGAAAATGCAGTATCTTGCATGGTTTAGTTCTTCAGTTTATATCTGCAACTCATACACTTAACCAATTCGATCAAACTTTTTTGTAATGAATAAATTTAGGACTATACATATAAACCCATAATTTCTACGGTTTCAGATTAGAACAAAGTCCAGTTTCATCTGCTCTTCATTGTCGATTTCGAAACATATTCGAGTCTCCCCTTTGGGGTATCAAGTAGTACGCTAGTTAAACTAACAATTACAAACCGATTAATAACAGACATATAGAACCTGCTCGCTTACAAACTGTGTACTTCCTTCGGTTCAGGATATCTAGTGCTGGGCACAAATACCCGTCACCCGTCTTAAATTCGTTACCTGCCCTGTATTTGCCCCGCAAACACAAGTACTTGTGATAATCAAGGGAAATAACAAGTTAGCAAATTTGATAATTTGCAAATCTAAACCAAAGTAACAAGTCTTATATTTATTGTAGCCTTAACTCGTTTTGATCCATTACTTAATTTTAAAAATATTTTATAACATTTACATTGTTATTAGTTTAATACTTATATAATATATCAAACATATGGAATCAAATAATTCTCTTTTTTTCATCAAATTCTATTTTATATTATCTCACATTGGCTGTAACATAAAAATCAAGCAAATATTCTTGTTATAAATAAAGATAATCACCTAATTTTAAAATCATTGGAATAAAATTTCTATTGTAAGAGTTCAAATACATAAAAAATTTACTTTAGATAAGCAAGTACAAGTACATCAAATTACTTGCAAGTATCTCATATATGAATGAATACTTTCTTAATTAATTACTTGATATTAGCAAATACAAGTATAAGGCAAAACTTTTAATACTTGAACGGGACAAATTGAATTACAAGTATAACAAAAACTCCGAGTATTTGCATACTCCGTGCCCAGCCCTAATCTCATAATAGTAACTATTCAACACATATTCAACAGAAGTTTAGACTGTTTACACACACTTACAAATTTTATAAATGTAATGAGTTAATAACTTAATATACACATGCAATCAGAAAGCTTATCCAAATATAAATTGATTTCAACATATTAGTACAATATTCCACTTACGCAGAACTTAATTAAAGATGCCCATTACCATGGATTAACTATGTTAATATGGTACGCGAAAACCCGCTGGCTTAAAAGTGGCCTTTTTTCCGCGATGTTATGCTTATAGCATTTTGTTGTTAGCTAATGATTAAAACATGAATAGCAAGTCAATAATAATTCTAATTTAGTCCTCTAATATTGTTTGTTGTTTATACAGTTCACAGAAATATAAGACTGCTCTATAAAAGTCAAGAGCCGTAGACGAAAACGAAAAGAAAAAAGCAGAAGATACCTTCAACATAACGGAATAATTGAGAACCAACCACCTTGCCAGCTTTGTAAAGTATTCGGACCGTTGGGCGGTGAAAGACAGCCGCGATGTCTAGCAATCTCAGGTCTCGACACCTGCCCAGTGGTTCCCACAAAAACAATAATATCACTGGTTACTATTTTTGTTTTGAGCCCTACCAAAAAAACATGTATAGTAAACGTCTACATGCCCAATAAGGCAGCCACGTGGACAATGACATAACTGTAGTTTCCTTGCAGCAGAGAAGAGAAGCCACCGGCGCATTAATTACGGAGACATAAACGAACAAGTGTGAATGGACGTGGAGTGGCTATGCACCTTATATAACGTCTCAGGCCGGCGAGGATTTTGTCCCTCGTTAATTATTATTCTATTTGCAACAACAACAACAACAAAAATCTAAACGATACTTATGTTTTTTAATGATGTTTATTTTTTAGTTTTATACGTGTGGTTTACTATATATAAGCATCACATTATTATACAATATGATGTTTAAACGTTAACAGCTTCCTACAGTTTAGATATTTCTGTAAAGTAAAAAATGAATGCTTGTCGACACCGTTCATTAAAGCCATGTAACGATGTATTGTTAATTAGATATAAAAAAAACTTATAGTATATTAGACTGTTTATGGCGTTCATGATATGAATAAACGTATTATAAAATAGCGAATAAGGATAGGATCGTTTTTATAATGTAGAAAACAGAATATAAAGCTGTTTTGAGAGGAAATCTACAAGAGTACAAGACGTTGTGAGAATGTGGCCTATGGACAGCTAATGATGCCAACACGTCCAAAAAATTAATAATCATTGAATACATTAGTTCCACACACTAGGAATTACACACCTGGAAGATAATATCATTTAAATTTTGTTTTATTAATAAACGGCATAATACTAAATTACTAATCATAAGTTTGCTTAAGAGTGGACGTTCGGATATCCGTTTGGGTACCCATTCGGGTTCGGATCGGATATTTCGGGTTTCGGATATTTCGGGTATTTTGGTATTGGGGTTTAGGATCGTTCGGTTATTTTTACATATCGGGTTCGGTTATTTCGGGTCGGATTCGAATATTTAGATTTTGAAAGAAAAATTTCAAATTCTTCATTACTTAAGTTTTATGTATTTAAAATTTAACTGTTTAACTGTTTAATAAATTAGACGATTAATAAGTTGAAAATAAATTACTGAAAATAAAAATCATTATTTTGATTGTTATTTTCAAATTTCGGATACAAATTTTGTTAAAATATGAAATAAGAAGCTTAATATACATTTTAAATGAGTAACATATCATTTTTTTACAATTGTATGTATATTATCTGATCTTAAACTATATATAACATCAATATAAATATTTTTAATAAAATGAGACAAATAAATTAGGAATAAATAGGTATTATATACATATATTCGGTTATCTTCGGATACCCGTTCGGGTTCGGATATCCAAACTCTCATAACTCAATATCCGTTCGGGTATTGCTAGTTCGGTTCAGATATCCAAACTCTCATAACTCAATATCCGTTCGGGTAGTTTGCTACTTCGGTTCAGATATTTTAATTCGGGTACGAATTCGGGTATCATGCAAAGTGCCCACCCCTAAGTTTGCTTTACGATATGGCATAAATTTCTTATTTAATTTAACTACTTGCATATGATTCATATATAAATGTGTTTTTTTTTCACAGTACATAGCTATACTATAATGCTGATTAACGTATGATGATAGACTAATGATTGTAAAATTTACGATGTGATTAAGAAAATATCAAAGTAACGATATTATATTGTTGATATTTTTTTGTCTTTTTGGTAGTTAGCTAGCTATACAGTGACTAGTGAGGTACTAGGGAGGGCATTTTTTTCTTCTCGCGTTGAAATTCATCTCATCTTCCATTCTCCTTTTTTTCTTTCTTTCTCATCTTTCATCTTCGAGTATAAAGAAGCATCCTCTTCTACTTCTGACTACTAATCATCTGTGGTAATAATATAAAGGAACGGTTTTTAATATATATTTGGTAAGAATCTATTTGTTATTTTCGATTCACTGTAGATTGACTTCGTTTATCTTTATACTCGACACGATTTTGAACGATTCAATGGTGAAATTAAGGTTTGTAGATTTCTAGCTGGTGGTTTTCGTCTCTTCACATGTATAAGTTTTAATTTTTTTTTCGGCTCCGATGAAACATCCCTTTCTATGATTCATTTTTTATAAGTCTTGGTGACCCTTTACTCAAAGTCTTGTCTTTTTAAGTCAAGTTGCTTAAGCAGCCTTGACAAGTCCTTGTTTTTTTGTTTTTTTTTTTGTAATGGGTATTTCGTTTCTTATCTGTTTCTGCGGTTTCGTTTTGTTTTCAACATCCTTCTTAGTGGAGGAAGCTGTTTAAAGTTTCATGCTTTCTCCGTGCCTCACATGCTTTTTCCTTTATTTCAGAAACGCAGTTGCATTGGATAGCTTATTAGCCAATCATCTGAGTAAAGGTGAAGGTGAGAAAACTAGTCTCTTTTACATGTTTTTGGTAAATATTCTTAAAACGTCGTCATTTGCTTGTTTGTTTCTGCTTGGACTTTCCTCGGTCGTAAAGTAGATTATTGTTTTAAAAAAATCGTGTTAGAGTTCTTCTAGTCACGTTGTCACGTTGAATGAGCAAGTAATGGCAGATAGCTCGTGAGCTGGGTGTTAACTTTATCCTTATGAATCTAGTGGAGGAGGAAGGAGTTGAGCTGTTTTTTTTGGTTGGCCATTAATATTTACCAAGTTTTCTCCTTTGAATCATTCTTCTCTCTTCTTCTACCTTTGATCATTTCATCATCACTGATTGTTTTGTTAATCACAAACAAGATTCATTGCCAAACCTTTTATTAAACTTTGGCACTTACAGTGTTTGATTTGTCTTTCCGGTTTGTAGATTTCTTAGAAAATGGGATGCTTTGCATCAACTCCGAAAGACACTGGTGGGAACAGAAGAAAGCCAACAAGCATCGGTGAGGTTTCAGTATATGTACCCGGTTTAAGGATACCGAGACCTGTTGAGTTTTCACAGGCACTTGGTGATCAATTGCCAAAGACTCTAGTGGAACGCTTGACAGCTTTAAGAACGCGTATAGTAGTGATGGCTAATCAAGAAGGTCCTACAATAACAAGAACTAGGAGAAAGACACAACATGGTATTTATAATATGTCTGAGAAGATCTTTTGTATGTTTTCTTTCTTTGTTCTGCTTTCTACTGTTTACGTCTCTAAGGGGAAATTGTTTCTTGGCAGGAGGTTCCACGCTCTCAGATCTCCATCAAGCTTTGGTTGACTATCTTCCTGTTCTTTTGGAACTAACTAAAGACGGTAATATCCTGTTATGTGTTAATAGATTAAAAGATCTGTTTGGTTTCAGAGATTTATTCTGACCTTACAATGTTTGTGATGTTCTTCAGGTAGCCATCTACAGTTTAACGTACATTTTATTTGGGTAAATCAAGAGGATGAAGAAGAGGTTAGTAATAATAATCAGAGCAGTTTTCATTAACTGTTCATCATACTGTACTGACGACTCTCTTTACATATATACTTATAATCAGGAAACAGCAATGTCAAACATTTGGTATGAAGTTTTGTCTGTTTTGCATCTAATGGCAATGCTACAAATGTCACAAGCCAATTTGCTGCTTCTTCCAAGAGGGTTTAGTGATGGCCACAACCATCCAAAAGTATCAGAAGGTTAGGTTTCTTTGCTTGCCTGAGGAGAACTCTCATACTTTCTGTTGTGTTAAATCTCTTAGGTGTTATGCTAGTTGATGGTTTTGAAAAAAAAATTGTTAACTAAATGTTGCTGCTAGGTCCCTGACACTGAACAGTCTCGTTGTTTCTTTGACTATAGAAAACAGACGAGCTTCGATTGATATCTTCTTAAAGGCAGCTGGATATCTTGATTGTGCTGTTAAGAATGTTCTCCCTCAGTTTTCTGCTGAGCAAAGGTTTATAGATAAATTTTTTTTTTTTCTAATATCAGTTCACTCTAGTTGTTGGTAATTCTGAATTGAGCTTAGTGGCACAATCCTTGTTTTTTGCATTTCTTCAGGAGAAGTTTACCGGTTGACCTAGCGGAAGGAGTTCTAAGGGCTCTTTGCTTGCAAGCACTAGGCCAGGTAAAACGGATATGGTTAAGTTGCTTACATGTGGTTTCTTTCCCTCTTCTGTGATCTAACATCTTTCAAGTTACTGTTTTTTTTTCTTTTTAGGGTGTTGATATCCAACTTGGCATGGCAATTGATAGTTCTAAGGCCACTCTTGCAGTCAAACGAAGACTTGCATGTGAAATGGTTAAATATTGGCAGCAGGTAAGTTCCTTATTCTTATTCTATTTTACTGTCTAAGTGGCTTCCACGTCTTGCAAGCATCTGAATTTTTCGTTTATGCTTCAATTCTTTTTGCTGGTTGCCACTAAAACAGGCACAAGATAATTTAATGAATCTTCCATTAGCAAATGGTTGGGGAGAGAAGCATAGACTCTTCGTTAAGTGGAAGTATGTTGAAGCTAAGGTATTGTTTTGTGGTCTCTTTCTTGATCTATTACTCCTTACATTCTGTAAACTTGTCTGATTCTTTTCAGTTACGGTCCTGAGCCTTGGTTGCATTGTGTTATGCTCTTGTTAAATTCACTGTTTCTATAAGACACATAATAAAGTCCCTCACTTGATGTCATGTTAAGGTCCATTTGTCTAATGGTATGTTTCATCTTCTGGAATATTTTGGATCAGGCTGCGGCTTACTACTATCACGGTTTGATTCTTGATGAAGGAAACACAGAGAAATCACATGGCATGGCAGTTGCTGCATTACAAGCTGCAGATGAATGTTTCAAAGAAAGTAAGAAAGCATCAGAAGCTTTCAACGCCTCTTCACCTACTTCAAGGTATATTCTTTCTCCTGTGCTCATTTGGTGACAGATTTAGCAGTCGTTTTAAAGATCTAATATTTGTTTTACTGCAGGACACCACCGCTTTTCGGGACAATGAAGTATCTAACAGAGAAAATCCCGAAAGATACTTCGAGTAAAGTCAGGATCAACCGTGATCTATACTCTTATGAAAAGTGAGTTTTATTTTGACTTTGTTTCTTCTGCAAGAACATATAAAGCTGAGTTCTTCGTTTTTGATGCTCTCTGAATAACAGAATCATGGAGACGGCACCAACACTTCCTGATTTCGCTTTGGCACTAAAACCAGATGAGTATCAACTTCCTCTGGTTGAATCTTCGTAATCTGAAGATGCTCAAAACGTTTCAAACAAGAGCAATCAAAAGACACACTGTGTAACCTTATAGAGAGCAAAAGGATGAGTGGTTTCCAATGATTGCCTGCAAAACTGGGTTTGGATCAGTTTACATGAGAGAGAGAGATCTTTGTATACTAATGTGAACCATAAATTTCTGCAATAAAGTATTATATTTGTTATTTCCAGTATTAATAATCACACTTCAAGCAAATGGTGGGGTTATCAGTTATGTTATGTTTTAGTTGGTGGAGATGTGACAATGTACTAAAGATAATTATTTGACTTGGAGTTGAAGCATCAGAGAAGCCAAAAAAAGGTTCTGGAATAAAGCAGAATATAGAAGAGATGATGCAGATATGTTTCAGACAAAACTACAAAGGTCGACAGATTCGGGCAGTGCTTCATTCCAAATATGTGCTGTGCTACGAAGAAGTCGGAATCTCTTTACTTAAGAGGAAGAAAAATGTCTAACAAGACAAGAAGCTGTTAAAATTTAGTTATAATAACTGTTATTTAAAAGTTATTTAAATACTCATTTTATAAAAAGCTTTAATGTGAGCTTTCGTAATACATCTTTTTAATTTTCGTTTTTAAGATTAAACCAAAATTAATGAGTTTTTTTTTTGTCAACAAACCAAAATTAACGAGTTCGAATTAAAATTTTAATTAATATCTGATGTAATATATAGTGTGTAATAAATTCAAAAAAAAAAGCAAGCTAATGTGTATAAATCCCAAAAAAAAGTTAAAAACGGCGACTTTGTACAAAAAAGAATACTTTTTTTTTACACAAACCGGATTCTTCACTGTTGTTAAAAGAAAAAAAACGGATTCTTCACGCTCTGCGCCGCAGTAATCTCACACTGGCTCAAATTTCTCCGAAGCAACCTTCTCCAATCTTCCCCGTCTAATTTCGTTTCTAGTTCGTAAGTTTTCGTTTTGTCGATTATATATACTCTTCTTTCCACTATTAGTTTCATGAAACCATTGTATCGAATCAATCTCGCTTGACACAGAAACCCTAATTTTGGATTACCATTACAATTGAATAAATCAGATAAAATCCACTGGATTAGTGACCATGCCCGTCCTTTACGAGCAAGACAAGCACGTATCTTCCGCTATCATGACAGGACAGGTAGTAATAACAATCTCAGTTTCAATCTCCATCTCTATTATCTTTGTCTGAAACTGAAAAAAAAACTCTTGTCTTTTTGTCTGAATAAAACTGTTCTGTTTTGTCTGAATAAAACTGTTCTGTTTTGTCTTTTTTTCCAGGAGAGAGGTGTGCTTAGATGCCAAGAAAGAACCTCACTGCTCCATCACTGGAAACTCACAAAGGAACAGATTGAATTAGTTGACAAAGCAGGCTTTGGTTGGTTCAGACTAATAGGATCAATCAGTTTAAACAACTCACTAATCTCCGCACTCGTTGAGCGTTGGAGAAGAGAAACCAACACGTTCCACTTCCCCTGTGGTGAAATGACAATCACTCTCGATGAAGTGTCATTGCTTCTCGGTCTTCCTATTGACGGGAAGCCTGTTGTTACTAGTGTTAAAGAAAGAGAGGAAGACCCTTCTCAGGTATGTCAGAGACTCTTGGGGAAGATGCCGCAAGGTGAGTTGAGTGGGAACAGAGTGACTGCGAGGTGGTTGAAGGAGGGTTTCGCAGAGTGTCCTAAGGGAGCGTCGAAGGAAGAGGTTGAGTTTCACACGCGTGCTTATCTTATATACCTTGTTGGGAGTACGGTTTTTGCAACTACGGATCCTAGTAAGATCTCTGTGGATTATCTTATGCTCTTTGAGGATTTTGAGAAGGCTGGAGAGTATGCGTGGGGGGCTGCTGCGTTGGCTTTCTTGTATAGGCAGATTGGTAATGCGTCTCAACGGTCTCAGAGTATTATTGGGGGATGTTTGACTCTCTTACAGGTTTTTGTTTCCCTTTGTTGTCTTTTAAGAGCTTTTATATTCTTTCTTGTAGACTTTACACTAATTGGGTTACTAATCTTTAGTGCTGGAGTTACTTCCATCTGAATATTGACCGGCCAAAGAGAACCACACGTCAGTTTCCCCTGGCACTTTTGTGGAAAGGAAGGCAACAGAGTCGGTCCAAGAATGATTTGTTTAAGTATCGCAAGGCACTTGATGATCTAGATCCATCAAATGTAAGAGTTATGATTGCATTATTTATGTTGGTGAATCCCTTATGGATTTTTGTTGCTACTGAACTCTGTTCAGGTTACTTGGTGTCCCTTAGAAGGAGATCTTGACATTGTGCCTGAAAGCTTGAAAGATAATCTACTACTTGGTAGGTCAAGAACAAAACTGATTGCTCCAAAAGTAGTGGAATGGCACTTGCCAGATCGATGCATGAAGCAGTTTGGTCTTTGCCAAGTTATCCCCGGAGAAGTTCCTCACAGAAAAAACGAGAAAACCCACGACGAAGACTTACTGGAAGACATTAACACAGCGGATGAAGAATGGATGAGACGAAGGGAAAACATTGTGGAGAGTGTCGGAGGCAATGCTGATGAAACTGAATATATGCAGTGGTTCAATAGCATCACAGTCCCAAAGCTTCACAGGGATACAAGTCTCGAAGCTGATATAATGAACGTGGTAAGTGAATATTGGTTAACCAATGCATAAATCATCTTGGAGATTGCGTTTTTATATGTTGTTTCTTTTGTAGCAAGCTGCTATACTCCAATTCGACGAGGTGGCTTCAACGTTGGCGTTAGAGGATTTACATCCAGAGGAGAGAGAAGCAGTTGAAGAAGCAGTGATGTGTATGTCAAATGCCTTGAGAGTAGGAGATTGGTATGAAGCTCCAACAACAAATAAGCGCAAGCGAAGAGAGGAACAACCTGAGTGTAGCGAGTGAAGACACAAATAAAGAGATCCTCTCTTTTTTATTCTGGCTGATTCAGATGGCTTAGGCATTGACTTGGAGAAGACAGAAGACGTAAGTCCCATCAACACTTGAGTTTATGCTTTACCCTTGATAATTGTTTCAGTTTTATAAATAGAGATCTTGGTTTGGAATCTTAAGAACACTTGAGAGGCTATAAATATTCAGCATAGTTTTTTGCTAAGCTTGTGTTCTAACCAGTGTATTTCAGTTAGTGATGAACTGGATAAAGTAGATACTTAACGTGTATGTGATGGTTCCTAGCTAACGAGATAAATATGGTATTTTGCATAACCATCATTTAAAGAAAACTAAGGTTAGTACAGGTTTGAACCCATTAATATATTCCTTGCAAGGAAAAAGGATCTGCACCCATTAATCTGTAGACAATAGTTTACCGAACAAAATGTTTCATTCTGATGAACTCTGAGAAGACTTTCCTAAAAATAGTAAAATGATGTCACAATTGTAAATTATGTCCAACATTATGCAAAGTTGATCGCATAAATTTCAGTGTTCCAAACATATGACCAAAAGAATATTCCCAAATAAAAAGTTCAGTTTTGTCATTACACGAAACAGAGAAAATAGGCAAGTTGATAAACTCTAACTTAAAACTCGCCGGCGACTTAACCAATGTTTTACACAGATGGAAGTAGAGATGAGTTTGGTTTGGTTTCAGGCATCTCTCTTTACCTCGAAAATGGTGTGTGTGAGAGAGAGTACAAGGAGGAGTAATGGAGAAAGAAGCAAGAGAATTTAAAACCCATAAACCTCTCTCTCTTCACCTCCTGTCAAACACCATTAAACACACACCCCATCAGTATCAGTTACGCGAATTCTCTAGAGAGACAGGTAAGGAGAGAGAGAGAGATTTAGGAATCTGTAATGAATGTAAAAGGAGTGAAATGTGGAAGAGAAGAAAAGAAAGCACTAATGGCGGCAAGATACAAGTACTCTCTCTCTCTCTCTGTAGAACGACAAGAAACATAATTACGGCTATCAGATTCTCTTCCGTTTCTTTTTCTTTTTTCTTCTTTTTAAACTCTCTCACACACAATCAAAACGTTTGTGATCTTAAAGATACTTTTTTCTTTGGTTGTTCAGAGTTCATTACTTTCTTTTTTACTCTTGTGTTGTGTTAATGACGACAGTTGTGTGATGGTCCAGTGCTAGCTAGTTTACTTTGTTTGGTTTAAAAGAGTAGAGGAGTTACTGTTTCTTTGTCTACTAGACTTTATACTTCGAGTGAAGATGGAGTTTCTTGGCGACAGCTCTGAAACTGACAAGAAGAAGATCAAGAAACGTTTTCACCGTCACACACCTCACCAGATCCAACGCCTTGAATCGTATGTATTATCCCTCCTTTTTTTCTTGTTTTCTTGTTTATTCTTTCTTATAGGTTCTCTGATGATTTTGTTTGTAGGACTTTTAATGAGTGTCAACATCCAGATGAGAAACAAAGGTTACAACTTAGCAAAGAACTTGGTTTAACTCCAAGACAGATCAAGTTTTGGTTTCAGAACCGAAGAACTCAAAAGAAGGTTTTCATCTCTAACTTTCTTCTCTTCCTCTCTTTTGTCTCCTGACCACCGTTTATTTTTGCAGGCACAACACGAGAGAGCTGATAACTGTGCACTCAAGGAAGAGAATGATAGGATTCGTTGCGAAAACATTGCTATTAGGGAAGCTATCAAACACGCCATTTGCCTTAGCTGTGGTGATGCTCCTCTTCATGAAGACTCTTACTTTGATGAACAGAAGCTTCGAATCGAAAATGCACACCTTAGAGAAGAGGTTCTAGCTTCATATTCTTTAAACATTCTTCATGCATTGTTGTTTGACTTTAGAGCTTAAAACATTTGATGTGTTTTTTGGCAGCTTGAAAGGGTTTCAAGCATTGCAGCTAAATTCATGGGAAGACCACTTTCTCATCTCCCACCACTACTCAACCCAATGCACCTTTCGCCATTTCACAGTGGCCCTTCCCTTGATTTTGATCTTCTTCCAGGAAGTAGTAGCTCTTCAATGACCGTTCCTACTTTACCATCTCAACCAAACTTGGTTTTATCAGACATGGATAAGTCTCTTATGACCAACATTGCTGTGACCGCTATGGAAGAGTTGCTTAGGCTTACACAAACGGATGAGCCTCTATGGATGAGAACCGGTGGATGCAGAGATGTTCTCAATCTGCAAAGCTATGAGAATATGTTCCCAAGATCAAGTAGTCATGGAGGAAAGAACCACAACGTTAGAAAGGAAGCAACTAGATCTTCTGGCGTTGTGTTCACTAATGCAATGACACTTGTGGACATGCTCATGGACTCTGTGAGTAGCTAAACTCAAAAACCTTTAGTTCTTTCACAAGTTGTTTCTTGTTTTTGCTCATGTGGGGGGTTTTGTTTCACCATCTTGCAGGTCAAATTTTCAGAGTTTTTTTCTTCAGTTGTTGCATCGTCTCAAACACTTGCGGTGATTTCATCTGGAATGGGTGGTTCACATGGAGATGCATTGCATTTGGTAAGAAGATAACACCTAATTCTTGAGTCTTTTGGTGTGTGAAACTCTTTAGTAACTTTGCTTTTGGCTTGTGGTAGATGCTTGAAGAGCTTCAAGTGCTTTCTCCATTGGTACCTACTCGTGAGTTTAGTGTGATAAGATATTGTCAGCAAATCGAACATGGAACTTGGGCTATTGTAAATGTCTCTTATGAGCTTCCTCAGTTTATATCTCACTCTCGGTCATATAAATTTCCTTCTGGTTGCTTGATTCAAGACTTGTCAAATGGCTATTCCAAGGTTTGTGTGTAACTGTTCTGTTTTGTTTCATTTTGATTCGCATCAATGATCATTTGATTGTTTCTTTGAATGTGTAACAACAGGTTACTTGGGTTGAACATGTTGATGTCGAGGAGCAAGAACCTATTCATGAGATGTTTAAAGAAAATGTCCGTGAAGGAATAGCTTTTGGAGCTGAACGTTGGATCGCTACTCTCCAAAGAATGTGCGAGAGATTCACTGCTCTACTTGAACCCGCAACATCATCCCGTGATCTCAAAGGAGGTACGTTTAAATTTTTAAGGCCCAGTATCTTAATCAATCAGTTTAATATGCTTTCAAGTAACACAATTGAAAACGACTCAGTGATTCCATCGCCAGAAGGAAAGCAAAGTATAACGAGACTTGCTCAAAGAATGGTTAGCAATTTCTGCTTGAGCGTTGGCACATCTAACAACACTCGGACACCTGTTGTTTCGGGACTGGATGCATTTGGAATCCGTGTGACTTCGTATAAGAGCCAGCATGAACCAAATGGAATGGTTCTATGTGCAGCCACTAGTTTCTGGCTCCCAGTTTCTCCACAAGACGTCTTTAATTTCCTCAAAGATGAAAGAACACGACCTCAGGTACTATTAGAGATCATTTCGTGTACCATAATTTTCGGTTTTCTTGATGTTTCGTTGTTTTGGTTGTGTAGTGGGACGTTCTTTTGGATGGAAACTCGGTTCAAGAAGTTGCTCATATTGCAAACGGATCACACCCTGGAAACTGCATTTCTGTTCTGCGTGTAAGCCAATCTCTTCTAAAACTTAAATAGATCATTCGGTTCTTGATTCTAATGACTAATAATAATTTGGTATATACATTTTTTTTTTTATCAAAAGGGTTTCAATGCATCATCATCACAAAACAACATGCTGATTCTACAAGAAACCTGCGTAGACTCATCAGGCTCTCTTGTGGTCTACACTCCAGTAGATCTACCATCTCTGAACATGGCAATGAGCGGTCAAGACACTTCTTATATTCCTATTTTACCCTCTGGTTTTGCTGTTTTACCAGAGGGAGGCAGGAATAACCAAACCACAGAGGTTAAAGCTGAAGGAAGAGGAGGAGGTTCATTGATAACGGTTGGGTTTCAGATAATGGTGAGTAGTTTGCAGTCAGGGAAATTGAATATGGAGTCAATGGAAACAGTTAATAATCTCATCAGTACTACTGTCCACCAAATTAAAACCACCTTGAATTCTCCTTCAACTGCTTAATTGAGGACGCCATTAATATAGCTCATTTTCCCATCTGATTTCTGAGAAGGGTCTTCAATGATCAGAGAAGTGAAAGTTATTAAGTAGTAGTACTACTACTTATTTTGCCTTTAATTCCAGCAAAGTGTGTAAGAAGTCATTACTCTTCTGAGTATTTGTCTCCTCTTCACTCTCTTGTCCTTTTTTTTGTGTGTTTTGTATGTCTGAAATGGGAATATCTAGTGGGAAGGGGGGAGTCAAGAACGCACCATGCTCTAGTTGTATGGTTCGGGCATTGACTTCAGTTTGTTTTCTTTTGTCTAGTTACAGTTGTTAAGGTACTTTGGTCTTGTCTAAATTAATTCAATATGTTATCACCATTAAACTATTTTTTTACTACTTGTTCATGATGTGATGATACTAGCAATGAAACTAATAAGTGTGTCTCTGAAACACAATCAATGTATCAAAACAACAGTGCTAACAGAAAGAACACAAAACTTAACAAGCCTTAACTAAAAAAACTTACATAAAGAATCGTTGACAAAATAATAACTCGAACTCAAAGATCACCATGAATTTACTTACACTCCATGAATTTTTGTTCTGCACGAATCGCCTATATATAAACTTTTATGCACAGTAAATTTGAACTTGCACCTGAAAATCTCTCATATCTGACAATTTTATGTCTTCTTCAGACACCTCATTGCCAGATATGCCCAGAAACTGGACCGGTTAACTACATACCACCATAACGATGGGGAATAAAATAAATGGGCCAATACTGAGATGACTACTCTAGGCCCATGGGCCAAAATAATACTAATCTGATGATATGGCTCATCCAATCGCGACAACGTATCAGATTGCCGGCGGAGTTTCAGATCTCCCACGTTACATCCTCCGAAGATTGTAACTTTTCGACAAATCTACGTTTTTGTACGTTGACTTCTCGTGGCTATATAAGTCAAACCCTCTTTTCTCTCTATATCTCGTCTTCTTTGCAGAAACCCTTTTATCCCGATCCAATACGATGGCAGACACCACAGGATCCGGTACGTTCACTCTTCAAATCTCATTCAAATACATTCCCTTCGTAATATGCTAGAGAACATGATTGTAAAATTAATTGTAGATTTTATAATTTTACGATAATTTTGTTAATGTTTCAAAAAAAAAAACATAATTTTGTTCAGACATGAAACCAGATTCGTTCATGTCGGAAAAATCCGCAAAGATCTTCGTCGCTGGACACAGAGGATTGGTCGGATCCGCGATTGTCCGAAAACTCCAAGAATCCGGTTTCACAAACCTCATCCTCCGAACCCACTCCGAGCTAGATCTCACCAACCAAAACGACGTCGAATCCTTCTTCTCAACCGAAAAGCCTGCTTACGTCATCCTCGCCGCGGCAAAAGTCGGTGGGATCCACGCCAACAACACCTACCCGGCCGACTTCATCGCAGTCAACCTCCAAATCCAAACCAACGTGATCCACTCCGCCTACACGCACGGAGTCAAAAAACTCCTCTTCCTCGGCTCCTCTTGCATCTACCCGAAATTCGCTCCTCAGCCCATTCCAGAATCCGCTCTCCTCACAGGCCCACTAGAGCCCACCAACGAGTGGTACGCGATCGCGAAGATCGCGGGGATCAAGATGTGCCAAGCGTACAGGATTCAGCACAAGTGGGACGCTATCTCCGGCATGCCGACGAATCTCTACGGCCAGAACGATAATTTCCACCCCGAGAATTCTCACGTGTTGCCTGCTCTGATGAGGAGGTTCCACGAGGCGAAGGCTAATGACGCTGAGGAAGTTGTGGTGTGGGGGAGTGGGAGTCCGTTGAGGGAGTTTTTGCACGTGGATGATTTGGCTGATGCTTGTGTTTTTTTGATGGGGAGGTATAGTGGGTTTGAGCATGTTAATGTTGGGAGTGGTGTGGAAGTTACGATTAAAGAGTTGGCTGAGTTGGTTAAGGAGGTTGTTGGGTTTCAAGGGAAGCTTGTTTGGGATTGTAGTAAGCCTGATGGGACGCCGAGGAAGTTGATGGATAGCTCGAAGCTTGCGTCTTTGGGATGGACACCGAAGGTTTCTTTGAGAGATGGGCTGCGTCAGACTTATGATTGGTATTTGGAGAATGTTGTGCAGAAGAAGCAGTAAAAGGAGAAACGTTTCAGGTGATTGCGTTTGTTTTTAAACGCTAGTGTTTTATGGTTTTGCGTTTTGGCTTCTATATTTCTATATCTAATGTAACTTTTGTATTCATGGATTTCATATACCCATGTTGAGATTATCAATAAAATCGAAACCTTATTTAATTTTTAGTAAATTTTTTTTACCAATGTTCTAAAATTCGGAAGATAATTAGGCATTTTATAAAGGATTATTGTTTAAGCGGGGTGTCTAGATAGATTTTTTGAACACCTAAATCGATTTTTGAAAACCAGTTTGAAAAATTGTTTCACTCTTACTCAATTTTTAGATGGTCAGCAAACGCATTTGATCACTGAATCACTGATAACAAAAAACGTTCCAATGGCATGTGCAAAACGGACCGCTATAAAACGCGGTAAACGATATGCTTACAGGTAAAAATAGTGAAAGCCTAGCTAAGTTTGGGCCTAATGATCAGGGAAATGATCGGCCCATTAATCTTATCGAGACTTATTACACGATCCAACGGTAGAGATTGAGTCTTCTTTGTGGATCATACGATACTAACCGTTGGATTTAACAGAAGAGCTCTGCTCCGAATAGCATCTAGTTAAAGAGGGCAAGAGAACCCTTCTTCTCTCCGCCGCCCGCGTCCTCTCTGTTTATTTCTTCTTCTTATCTCCTTTGCACTCTTCGTAGAGAAACTAATCCTTAACAATCAAATCTCAAGGTAAATCCATTTCTCTCCTGTTGTGTCTTAACGTTTATTCTTAAAGGTTTTGTCTGATTTTCATTTTTTAAACGGACATTCTTTATTACTTTTCAGCTTCTATATATCTTTGATTGAAAGAGAGTACTTAGATTGATTCTTAGTTTAATCCTAATAGTACCATTAGCTCGTATTCATAGTTTTTTTCATACGCATCTAACTTTTCAAAGAGTCACTTTTATATCTCATTTGATTTTTTTTTTGTGAATGTATAGTCCATAGTTTTAATTGCAATATACGAGATTCGTTTGAATCTGATGAATGGTGTAATGAATGTTGGTGGCTTTGTATGGTTTTCAAACACAGATGAATAGGGAGAAGTTGATGAAGATGGCTAACACTGTCCGCACTGGCGGAAAGGGTACAGTAAGAAGGTAGAAACTTTGTCTCTTTTTACCTTTTTCAATCCTTTAAGTGTTAACTTTGGTTTGTTGTTATATGAACCATTTTGATCTTTCTCAATGCAGGAAGAAGAAGGCTGTGCACAAGACCAATACAACTGATGACAAGAAGCTTCAGAGCACCTTGAAGAGAATTGGAGTTAACTCCATTCCTGCTATTGAAGAAGTTAACATCTTTAAGGATGATGTTGTTATTCAGTTCACCAACCCTAAGGGTAAAATTCTTTAACTTTTGCATATTTTCTTACATGATAAACCTTTTGTCATGTTATTGATCATTGTGTTATATGTTACTACAGTTCAAGCTTCAATTGCTGCAAACACATGGGTTGTTAGCGGTTCTCCTCAGACCAAAAGTATTGCATCTTTTCATCATCTTTACTTTCTTGTTTCTTCTTCATTGCATGTTTCTGATTAAAGTTTGAAACTTTTTTTTGCTTTTTCTGTAGAATTGGAAGATATCCTTCCTCAGATCCTCAGCCAACTCGGTATGTTGCATGTAGTTGTCATTGTTACATGTTCTTACCCAACTCCTTATTAAAGATTCTGAAATTTTGTTTTACTGTGATTTATTTCAGGACCAGACAACATGGACAATCTGAGGAAGCTAGCAGAGCAGCTTAAGAAGCAACCTCCTGGCGAAGGTAATGCCTCAGCAACCATTCAAGAGGAGGATGACGATGATGTCCCAGAACTTGTAGCTGGTGAAACATTCGAAGCTGCTGCTGCTGAAGAGAAAGTTGCTGCTGCTGCCTCTTCCTAGACACAAATAAGCACTTGGATTTCTACATCTCTTTATATATGTTTGTTCTCTCATTCCTTTTCTTTTGTAGTGTTTCCGACCGGATTCCTCTTTCCCCAGATAATGAAGTTTTTTTTTTTTATCTAATTGATTATTTGATATGGTTCTCTCGTATTGGATTAGATGTTGATGTGACACGTTTGTCACTTTTCTTGCATATCTATTCCACTTGTAATGTTTGAGTTTCTTCTCAAACGTTCCAGACATTTCTCTGTTCTCTCTTCAAATACTTTCTTAGAGAGATGCTGCGTCACATCTCAAACTTGCTGTCTTTTTTGTAAACCATGGCTTCCATCTTTGTATCTACTCCCTCTTCATCTTCCTTGGCTCTCCACTCCTGTCACAGTTCACATGTCCGTAGCAGTTACAGTCCAATATCTCCAAAGTTTGCGAAAACTGTGGTGAAGCGAAGTACAAGACGCAGCAGTCCATTGAGGTTTTCTGCTGAAGATGATCGAGTTCGTGAACCTGCAAACGATGCTTCCTCTCCGGTGGCGTTAGCAGAGGAGCACAAAGAAGATCACTCCAACAACAATGGTCCGCCTTCTCCGGGAAACACTGATGAAGAAGATGAAGAGAAATCTAAGCAGCAAGAGATGGATTGGAAGACGGACGAGGAGTTCAAGAAGTTCATGGGGAATCCATCAATAGAAGCTGCTATAAAGCTTGAGAAGACGAGAACTGATCGTAAGCTGAAAGAGCTGAACAGAGAGAGCAATAATGAGAATCCAATCATCAGAATATTCAACAGCTTGGCTCGTGATAGTTTGGTCAGAGAGAAAGAAAGGCTTGAGAAGGCAGAAGAGGCTTTCAAAGCTCTTGATCTCAACAAGGTAAACTAACCATCACAACTGTGTTCATTTCTTGAATGTTTGTATTTGCGTAGTTTTGAAAGTGTTTGTGTTGTTTACAGTTAAAGAGCTGTTTTGGTTTCGATACGTTTTTCGCTACGGACGTTCGTCGGTTTGGAGATGGAGGAATCTTCATTGGGAATCTGAGGAAACCCATCGATGAGGTCACACCTAAGCTTGAAGCAAAGCTCTCTGAAGCTGCAGGGCGTGATGTTGTCGTCTGGTTCATGGAAGAAAAGTCCAATGAGATTACAAAACAGGTAATAATAAGACTTCAAGATTCTTTAACTTTGATGTTCTTGATCTCAGGTTTAAGGCTGACCTTGTGGATTGTTTTGTTCTTTCTGTGCTTGTATAGGTGTGTATGGTACAACCAAAAGCCGAAATCGATCTTCAATTTGAATCGACTAGATTAAGCACTCCTTGGGGATATATCGCTGCAATCAGCTTATGTGTTACAACCTTTGGAACTATAGCTCTCATGAGTGGCTTCTTCCTTAAACCTGACGCTACCTTTGATGACTACATTGCTAATGTAGTTCCTCTCTTTGGTGGGTTCCTTTCCATCTTAGGCGTCTCAGAGGTAATCCTTGTAGTATATTCAAGATTGCTTGCTACACATTACTGTGATGTTCAAGTGTGAATTAAAACCTTTAATTGCTTGTTTCAGATAGCAACCAGAGTAACAGCTGCACGACACGGTGTCAAACTAAGTCCCTCGTTTCTAGTGCCATCGAACTGGACTGGTTGCTTAGGAGTAATGAACAACTACGAGTCCTTGCTTCCTAATAAAAAGGCGTTGTTTGATATCCCAGTGGCGCGTACAGCTAGTGCTTACTTGACTTCGCTGCTTCTTGCAGCTGCTGCGTTTATATCTGATGGTAGTTTCAACGGAGGAGAAAACGCTTTGTAAGGACTCATAAATGAGAACTCTTTTCTTTCAGTAACTGTTCTATGTACTACTTTGTCTCTCATGTGTGTGTTTCAAACATTCTCTACAGGTATATAAGGCCACAGTTCTTGGATAATAACCCGTTACTTTCTTTCATCCAATTTGTTGTTGGTCCTTATGCGGATGATCTCGGCAATGTATTGCCTAACGCTGTTGAAGGAGTTGGAGTTCCTGTTGATCCTCTCGCTTTCGCTGGTCTTCTAGGTAAGTTTTCATAACTTTGTCTCTTTTGTTAGTACTTGTGATCATTCTCTAAACTTCATTAAACTCGTTTCAGGTATGGTAGTGACTTCACTGAACTTGTTACCATGTGGGAGACTAGAAGGAGGTCGAATCGCTCAAGCCATGTTTGGAAGAAGCACAGCTGCAATCCTCTCATTCACAACGTCTCTCCTTCTCGCTATCGGAGGTCTCAGCGGAAGCGTCTTGTGTTTAGCTTGGGGACTCTTTGCAACTTTCTTCCGTGGTGGTGAAGAAACACCTGCTAAAGATGAAATCACCCCTCTTGGTGATGATAGATTCGCTTGGGGCTTAGTCCTTGGACTCATCTGCTTCCTCACTCTTTTCCCCAACACTGGTGGTACTTTCTCCACTTCCTTCTTCAATGGACCTTTCTTCCGTGGTGATGGTCTCTAGAAACAAGTATTGTAGAAAAAAAAAAACTCAATTATTATTGTAGAAGGTTACATTGTTGTAGCTATGCTTTTTTGAACATAACTTTTAATGGAACATCACTTAGAACAAGTCTTCTTATCCCATCTTGTACAAACACACCAACATCTCTACACATAACCTTGCAGAAGTTACAAACAGTTGGACAAAACACAATCTTGTAATCATCTTCGTACTTCTCGATCTTGAACCAGTTATCAACCGTTGCCTGACCTGGATTCCCTTCCACGCCACAAGCTGTAACAAACCACTGATTCGTCGCTTCATCGTAATTGTCCAAGTTCCAGACCGAAGCCGAACAGAATTTGAAGTTGAGATCAGTTGAGACACGGATGATTCTTGATTTATCTGATGGTGAGAATGTTAAGGGTAGGCCTTGTGAGACTTCGTATTGGTCTTGGATAACGCTTTTAGGACATGTTTTGTTTTCGGGTTTGGACATGGTTAGTCCACCGCCGCGACCGCGAAGAACAGGCAAGATGTAGTATTTGGTGCCTGAGATGAGACGGCTACCGTATATGTCGGTTACGGGCTCGAGAGCAGCTTCCGTGGTGGCTCCGTGGTGGATGATAAAAACGGCTAAGAGGAGGAAGATATTGAGAAGTAGTGATGATGACATTGTTGCAAGCTTTCTTGTTATGGAAACCTTTTGAGTACGGATTAAAAAGGAGATTCTATTTATAGGCAGGCCGTGCATATCTCTTACAAAGTTAAAGTCAACTACATCTACTTTTGATCAAAAATACACTTGGTGCTCGAGCACAACATATTCGTTGACGTGAGAATTGTCAAAGCTTCACGTGTCATGACGTCATATTTCGATCATCCATGACGAAATCCAGTGTATTAATAAAAATTGAAAATTTGTGGAAGCAACATGACGAATTAAGTAATTTATAGGTTTCAATTTTCAGAGAAGACGAACGACGAATTATAAGAGAAAATGATTATAAGAGATATTCAACATAGTACAAAAAATATCGATAAGATTAGGTGATGCAGTGAAAGAGAATCAACTTTCTATTTGCTCAAATAATAAGAGGTTTTATCTTAGTAATTCAATATATTCTTAGAAAATATATTATATTATCTTTATTGATAATAATTAAAAATAGTATTCGCGTTCTAGAGCTACTCGGTTAGTTACGGCACCCGGTGCATTTCTCCAAGGGTGGCCTAAAGTTCTACCACCAAATTGTAGCACATAATCATCTCCAAAGATTTCGGTTAAAGAATGCATATGCCAAACGTGAATACCCCTTGAAACCACAGGTAGAATACTTGGCAGTAAGACCCAATCTTGAGTGAAAAGATACCACGGCTTCGGTCTTTTTCAATATAATCGGGATTGGATGGGGCGGGGAACTTGGGCCCTCGACAATCCCCGTACCACCACGGGAGAGCACTCTTTGGAGCAGTTATACCGCCTGTTAAGTGCTCTAAATGAGCGTGATAAAGAGGCCCCAGAATTTAAGGAACTCAAAAATAGAGTGTTCCTCAAGAAAAGCGGCTACATTGGATCTCACCTGAATCGCTCCATCTATCCTCTTGAGGAGAAGTTTGGTTTCAAACCCCGATTCGAACAGGAGGAATACGCCGTGCTAATGTGCCTAGGATGATCCACATCTCAGGGTTAATCCGCATTAGATAGAATGGTAAGATGTAATATTGTTTCAACAAAGACAAGAAAAAATAAAAGTGGGCTTAATTGGGCTTATATAGGCCTTATAAAAAATAAATCTGCTAAGATAAAGACCCAAAGTGAGTTTACTTTACAGTGTAAAGAAATGATTCTTTCTCAGTGTGCCTTGTCCCAAAGCTGAGAAGATAATGAGAGCTTCTCCGGCAGCAATACTCTCATCACTCTCCTTACCTTTTGCTTCAACCAAAACTCGTTTCTCCGGAGAACCTCTTCGATTCAAACAACATGTTTCGAACACTCAAATCTTCTCACGACCACTACGTCTCCTCTCGAAGCAACGATGGAGCTTCTCCTGCAAATGCCGAAACAGAGGAAGAAACAGTCACGCGAAATTCGATGATGAAGGAGAAGACTTTATAGTGGTCAACTTCTATCGCTTTGTATCAATCCAAGATCCTGAGGCTGAGATTGCAAAGCACCTCTCTTTCTTACAGGTCCGTTTAGTTTGGACTAGTTCGGTCTTTTTTTCATATATTGATTGAAAGCTTTCTTTTTTTTGTTATTTTAACTATCCAGGATTTGAATATACGTGGTCGGATATATCTTAATGAACAAGGAATCAACGCACAGGTATCGTTTTATGAGCTTTATGATGTGACTACTACTAGGACGAAATCTTGTGTGTTTACTTGTGTAATTCTTGTTTATTTTTGCAGTACAGTGGACCATCTAAAGACGCTCTTGCATATGTTGAATGGTTGAAAGAAGATGAGAGATTCTCGGATATACTTGTCCAGATGTCTCCTGCTAACGGTAGGCATGCATTCCCTAAGTTGAAGCTACAGAACAAACCTTCCTTAGTACAGGTAAGATACACATCCCTTCAACGCCACTTTATGTTCTGTTGGATTCAAGTTTCTATTATTCACATGCGTGATAGTACAGTGCCATGTAGTATAGTATAAGATTACTCAACATTGGTTGTTTTTTTTTTGTTCTATAGTATGAGGGAGGGATTTCACACCTTCCTCTACTTGATCCACCGATGCGAGCAAAACCCTTAGAACCATCTGAATGGAAAGAGAAACTGAAAGACTTAACGGATGACGGTGAAGCTTCATCTTCGGATAGTGGCAGAAGCTGCATATTATTGGATGTCAGAAACGGTATTTCTTTTTACTTTACATTTGTCTAAAGTAACAGAACAGTCTCGATTTCTCTTATTATCTAGTAACTACATGACTGATCACTCCTTCTGGTGTTTTATTTGAGCAGGTTATGAGTGGGATGTTGGTCACTTTCGTGGGGCACGTAGACCTGAAGTTGATTGTTTCCGGAACACTTCTTTTGGACTATCTGATGAAAAGGTACATTTAATACTAAACTGTGAACTTCTTACTTAGACTAAGAGAAAGTGATCAGACAAGTATTATCCATAGGTTACATATTTGTAACGTATTAGAAGGTAGATATATCTAATACTGGATAATTTTGACTGTGCTTCCACACTATAGGAAGCTCCTTCAGACCCTTTGATAAATGTTGACAAGGAAAAGACAGATATACTAATGTACTGCACTGGAGGAATACGTTGCGATGTATATTCAACAGTTCTGAGGTAGCACTATGGCTTCTTTACTCCATTCTCATACTAACATCTCCTCCCAAAAAAATGTTTTCCCAAATAACTTTCTTGTGAGAAGTCAAATTTCTTTTCAGACAGCGGGGTTTCAAGAACCTGTATACACTGAAGGGTGGAGTTTCGCATTATCTTGAGGAAGAAGGCACATCTGAATGGGTTGGGAATCTTTTTGTGTTTGACTCTCGTCTCTCTCTCCCACCTGCTGCCTATAGTAGTAACAGCGCCTTGGATGAAACCAGAATAACTCCACAAACGCCTGTGGATACAAGTTTTGCAAGATGCTATATTTGTGATTCACAAGTTCAGGAACTAAGACATCGGAACTGTGCTAACCTTGACTGCAATCTGCTTTTCTTGTGAGTTGCATCATAGCTTCTGTTTCAGCTTTTTATGTCTCGTAACAAAAAATATGACTTAAAGGAAGTTTCCTAAATTTACTGTCTATCTTTGGTTCAGATGCTGTGCAGAATGTGTAGTCGACTTGAAGGGATGTTGCTGTTCAGACTGCATTACTGCTCCCAGACTTAGACCTGTCTTGCATGGATTAAAGAGATATGAAAAATGGCATATATATCGCGATTCATAAATCAAAATGCGCCTGATACTCATGCCTTGTCACTTCAAATTATGTTCACTACATCTCTCTGTGATGTTAAGATGTTTCGTCTGTTCTACAATGGGCAAGTGATCAGATGTGAAACACAACAAATGCAGAAAGGTTCTTGAAGCATAAGCTAATGTAGGAAGAAGTATTAGTCAATTTTTTTGAGGTTCTTGAAGCATAAGCTAATGTACAAATAAAGCTTGTAACAATTCACATCTTAATATATCTGCTTTAATTGCAGCACAAAGCAAACTGTGATGCAACATGATGGTTCTCGCTACTAACAATTAACAAAGTAGAAAAATAGATGTAGAAGATATTATTTTAGATAAATCCGTGGTTTCAGTATTGCTATAACTAACACACTCAAGTTTCTCTGCTCTCACATTACATTGAGATATCTGATACTGCAGGCCTAGTGAAATATGGTGGCTTTGCTTTAAACAACTTTCTCCTCAGACACTGAACAAGCTCAAACTCTTACCATCTGGGAGCTCCATTGGTTCGTGTACCAATGTAATTTCTCAGAGAAGGAGACTGAGTAAGACCATCTGGTGCAACAGTAGTGTTCTGAGTTCCATTCTTCTGCTTCATCCTTCTTCGTGCTACGTAGCCTCTGACCCAAGGAGTTACATCCTCATTGGTCTTGATCATGATGAAGAAAATGATGCGGTAGATGATAATCATGCTGAGTATCACACTGAGGTTAATCCATTTTGATCGGTGCAAGTTGATCTGGAAGACGTTCTCAAGAACATATTCACCTGGAATCTTGAAAGCACTCCCTTGGCTGTCAAACATCAAGCCTCTTAGATCATTCTGGTATTGACCCTGAAGAACAAACAAAACAAGTTAAGATTATAGTCACATGATGATAAGCTGATATGAAATGTGGTTTCAATGTTATTTACTTGTAGCGCCCAGAAGTGGAAGCTGATGTATGACATAGGGTAACGCCAGAAAGGTTTAGGGATGTCATTAGGAAGCCTGAAGAATCCAGAAACCAGCATGAAGATCCCCTGAAACAAAAAGTACACAATGAAGCAATAGATTCAAGAAGAGCTTCTAATTCTACTTTTAAGAAAGGTTTCAGGTATGAGGAAGCACCTGAATACCAGCTCCAATGATGATACCCATGAGGAAGTTGGGAACAATACTAGCTATAGCCATCATCAAGCTCTCCACAACAGTGACACTTGCATAGAGGCAGAGAACAAAGAAGAGATAGTGAGTGAATCCTGGATGCAGACCCACCATGAAGTAACATATTGTCCCGGAGATGAAAGTTATCATGATCAAGAACGGTGTTGCAGCTAATGTGTTGGCTATCACAAACGCAGCTACTCCATAGTGACCGTTCAATCTCTCTCTTTGGAAGACCTGCCAATCACTTTCAGTTTAACAAACCTGTTTGGTTCAAGACAACTGTGGGAGGAGATAACTTACCTTCATGTCTTCAACAAACGAAGGAAACCCACCAATTGACATGAATGTCACAAAGCCAAAGACAAAAGATGCACATGACCCTCGTGCCTGATTACACAATCAGCAAAAGAAAGGGACATGGTGAGAGGTAAGATTAAAACTTCAGTAATAGATGATATGAGAAAATTACCAGAATGGCGCTGTAGCTAGTCCCAACGTTCCAATAGATGGTTCCAATGCAGACTGTGACCAAGATGTAAATAAGAAGTCTGAGCCAGTAATAACCAAAGTCCCTTGACATGTTGATGAAGGATCGCTTGGTTAGAGTGTAGGTCTGGAGAAGGAAGCTAGCTTGACTGCCTCCAGAGTCAAGAATAGTCCCTTTCTGTAGCGTGCAAACAGGTTAAAAAAGACCAGGGACACAACCCAAGATTGAGAAAAGAACAGAGAGTACTTACATATTGCGATATCTCCTCAACCTTAGCCTTTGCATTGTAATAGTAATCAGAAGTGTGGTAATACTCTACCAGGACTCTAATAGCTTCGGTAGTTGTAATCTTCTCCAATGGATCATCGCTTGCTTCAAACTGAGAAGTAGAATAACAAGTTTGATCAGCAAGTCAGACTTCTACAGAATTGAAAGCAGTTGAAAGGTGAAGATGTTTCAATACCCTTAGCTTCATGGAACCTTTCAAAGTGGCTCTAACTTTGTCAAAGTCTGAGTTTACACATCTCAGGAAATGATCAGAAGGGTTCCTTAAAGCAGGACATGGAAACCCAGCTTGTGCAAAGAACTGCATTCCAAAGCAAAAAAAAAAAAAACATAAATTAGTTTTCAAGTTTTCTCCAGACAATGATGTTTTGTTTTGGTCAGGTTTCTTGCCTCATAAGCTTCTGCAGCTTGACCAAAGTAAACAGTTTTGCCTCCAGAGAGAAGATACAACCGATCAAACAACTCAAAGACCTCACTACTCGGTTGATGGATCGATGCAATCACGGTCCTTCCATCTCGTGATAGTGCACGCAATGTCTGAGTCACAAAGAAAGCAGAAGCACTACACAGAAAAAACACACACAAGCAGTTAGGTTTAAGTTTAACTGGTTTTATACAACATAAAAAAGTTATTGTTATAATGTTATGTAAACTTTACCTATCAAGACCACTTGTTGGCTCATCAAGAAAGAGTAAACGAGGTCTCATGAGAATCTCAAGAGCAATACTGACTCTTCTCTTCTCTCCACCACTAATCCCACGCAAATGCCAGTTCCCTATAACAGTATCAGCACAGTCCTGAAGACCCATCTCTATTATTGTCCTCTCCACTAGAGCAAGCTTCTCCGACCGTAACATCTTGTCAGGAAGACGAACTCTCGCTGAATACCATATAGTCTCCCTCACAGTTAACGTGCCGATTAAGTTATCATCTTGCGTCACATAAGCCTGTAAAATAATTACCAGCGCAAACAAAAAAAAACACACTAAATGAGTCAATAGCAAACAAATAAAAAAAAATACAAGATTGCTTAGGTTTATACTCTTTTTAATAGTCTGTATGAATAGCTAAGATCCAAAATCTAAGAACATTCTTATTATTTTATATCAAGACAAGCAACTACTGAAACCTATGCATAAGCATGTATGTGTCTGAAAATATGTATTTTTATAAAAGGTTGAAAAGTTGTACTTATTTTTATAAAGTTGACACACTTTTGATTCTTTTTTTTTCTATGAACTTGAAAATTCTAGAATTAAAAAATGTGTAATGAGTTGGTTACTAACAGCTGTTCCAAAGGAGAGTTTGGTTTTGCGACCGTTAAGAAGAACGGTTCCTGAGAGAAAAGCGTTAGCAGCAAGGCGACTAGCAAGAGCATCGAGCATAGTAGATTTTCCAGAACCGGAAGGACCCATGAGAGCGGTTAAAGATCCCGGTTCTGCATAACCGGTAAGACCCTCAAGAACGTTCTGAGTCTCACCATCTCCCATAGTCACCATCACAGTCAGATCTTGCCACGTAAGCCTCGCTGACACATCTCCTACGAACTCCGTTGGTGTTTTCTCTCTCCATATGGCTTCACTCAACGGACTTAACCCACCAACCTGAAAGTTCCCTCCCCCGGGAACGGAAACCGGTACGGTGGTTTGTTGTCTGCTTGGTTCTATCTCCATTTAGTAAACCAAAACAGAATCTGAGAAAAGTGAGAAAAGGGTTTGTGGAGAAAATGGAAAAGGTGTGAGGTTTGGATTTTGGAAGAAAAGAAAGTTATTGGATCAGGTTAAGTAGGAGAGATTCAGGAGAAAAGAGCTTTGGTGTAACAGAGTCGTGAGAAAAGTTGCATGAACAACAAACTTGGACTCGGTTCTATTCACATGAACTTTTGAAAGACTGAAACAAACAAAACACTTCTTCTTTATTTTCTCCTCTTATCTTGAAGATAACTGGTTCTTGAATATTTTTTCTTGGTTCAAACAAGAAATGAGATAGTTATGAAGACAGCAAAGAGATGGTTGGGAGAAGAATTGAATGAAAAATTAAGATGGAAGTGGGGTCCAATTTTTTTCCTTCTATTCTTTTGCTGCAACATTTAATGTAGGCTGGTAGTAGATAGATGGTTGCATACTTGCATTAAGTATCAATAGACCGCCCCAAATTTGATTTACTTTTTTCATTGAGAAAGATATTTGATCGAACTTTGTAAGATTGTTATTTTGTTTTGTTTAGATAGAATATAAATAGATTTTTATATTTATGCTTTAGTGGCAGTGAAAAATATTATTTCTTCATTTCATTTTAATTGTCGTTTTAAATTTGTGCATATAGATTAACAAATCATTTAATTTTAAATATTTTAAAAATAAAAACACAATTACATATACAACTAATCACGTTTTAATCAAGAGAAAATTAGAAAATATATAAAACTAATAAATTTTGCAATGAAACTATAAAACAACACTTATTTTGAAATATAATTTTTTTTCTAAAACACAAATAAAATGGAATGGAGAGAATAGTAGTTTTAGCTCTAATAACATCTTACAAAATTGATATGTTTTTAATGACTTGCTATTTCGGAAAAAGGTTATATTACATCTAAATTTCGGTGTGGAAAATAGATAGGAGTGCAAGACCATCATATGGAAAAAAATGTCTTCTGATTGTAAAACATGTAAAGAAATTAAATGCAGAAATAATGTTGACAGAAAAGTGCCGAAATATTAGACAAGAGTACGAGTCTATAGTTGATTTGTTGGTACTTGTTTTGTTAACAAGGACCCTTCCATTCTACGTAGGTCCAAGTGTCATTAGCTATATAAACGCTTGTATAAAACAACACTGGAACGTTCTTTCCCTCCATTCTTCAAAAAATCATATTGGGCTGAGACGTTGAACGAACGTTGTTGTATTGGATAATGTATAAAAAAATCTTGTTGGATCAACAAATGTGTGACAAACTAGCTAAGGCCCAAAGAAATGGAACGCGGGGAATGGTGATAATGGTCTCTAACCAATTGTTTTCCTTTGTTTTAATTTGAATGCATAATGTGATCCGTGACAAAATAGCTGTTACTTACCTTTTTAATAGTAAGCAAATAGATTATGTATAAGGACATGTCCCATCCTAATTTGGAAATCAGAGATTATCATACACACAAAAGATGATGAAATCTCAAAAAGTTGCTAGTACATGTACTCGTCGCATCGTATGGTTCAAAACATACTTTGGTAACAAAAAAACAGTACAAGAAATGAGGTAAACGACAAGAAGAAACCGAACACTTGACTTAATTTGACAAAGCCACCTCTCCACGTGTAAACTTTATTTGTTTCATTTCTTTTTATTTTCTTTATTATTCGGGATAGACCCCATGTCGGAATCTCTGGATCTTGTAATAATGCACCACAACTAATTTGTGCGAACTCGGTAATTATCACCTGCGAGTAATGATGTCGCTAAAAAAAAAGAGACAAGATAAGGTAGAAAACAAAACAGAATGAGAGAAGCAAAACGCGATAGATCGACGCAGCTTTCTTGATACGTGGCAAGTAGAAAGACTCATCACTGCCATCACTTACACGACATTACATTGGACTTACAGATAGGGCTGGGCATTTTATCCGTTATATTTGATTCGATTCGTTATTCGTTTCGATTCGATCCGAAAATTCCGGATATCCGTAAACTTTTGAATCGAAGCAAATACTAAAATTCAATATCCGTCAAAATCGAAGCAAATCACAAATATTAAAATTTTGGAAAGCGGATATCCGATCCGATCCGTAAATATATAAATATATGTATATTTTGATTATATTTAAAATTTTAAATGTATAAATTTATATAATTATTATTCTAGCACATGATTTTGAACAATTCTATTCAAATTATTACTTATATAAAAGTATTACATAAAAAGAGAGAATTTTTTTTGACAATTATTATTTTTTCTTAAATTTTGTGTTATTATAATTGTAATTTAAACTTTAAAAAATTACAAAATCTATAAATTCACTAGTTCTTTTAAGTTTTATTTTATATATCATGCAAAAAAATATTTTTGCAAAGCAAATTTGTATCAGAATCTTTAGATTATTTGTACTAATCAAAATAGATGAGATATCCGTAAATATTCGTAAATATCCGCAAATATTTATTTATTTTCTGGATATCCGTTTTTTCGGATATCCGTATTTTTACGAAGCAAAGCAAATACCAAAATTAGATATCCGTAACATTCGAAGCAAATCACAAATATCTTAAAAAACCCGGATATCCGATCCGTGCCCACCCCTACTTACAGATGTACGGTTCTTGCATTGTTTTTCTCTTACGACGACTGTAAGGTCACGATTCACATATATAACTCCTCACTAGATCAAAATATGTAACTAAAATGTTTATTGTCCTTTTTAGCTCAATGGTCAGAGATTAATGTATTGACTATTCTTTATGGGAGTTTGATAACTGAGCATGGTCATCATATTTGGCATCATGTATTGTAATTACACTTTATGAATATTTTGGCTTGTGATATATAAATATATGTGATGCTTTTTACGGAAAATCTGCCTAACAAAATTGAAATGCTCGTAGAAGACTTTTAATTCATGCAGATTGGATATTCAAGAATACTAAGTTTTTATCAAAAAAAAAAATACTAAGTTAATCCACTGACATACTGCATTCATATGTTTCTATATATTATACGGTTGTGAACTTGTGAAGTGTTGAAGATTAAGCTCATTTGTAAAATCTTCTTGTAACTTCGACCTTCTAATTAAGTAAAATTACAGTTTTCTGATACTAATTACTAAATTGTAAGACACATATGTTCACGCAGGAAATTTAAAGACAAAATTCTAAACAAAAATCCTTACAATTTAATCATATCAATATATATATTAGCCATTTTGCTTTCGAATTGATTTACAAACATACAGAAAATAGCTTTACAGGCTAAAATATAAACTTTGTAATGTTAGTGCATTTTCATCCAATTTTATTTGTTTCTTTAAAATAGAGTAAAAGATAATATGAAGTAAAAACACTCCAATTTTACTCTATTTTTAATTCATAATAGAGTTTTTTATTTCATAAAAGAGTAATTTTTTTTTTGTTTATTCATTATTCTATTATAGAATAAGAAATATACTGGGATTATAACATTTTTATTCCATATTCTATTTTATTCTATTTTAAAATGATGAAGTTTTACTTTGGAAATATTCTTAAAAATGTCTAACAGAAAATTACCTAACAAAGGTAAAAAAGATTGACGATAAGATCTTAAGATACAGAGAAAAGATAAAGCAAAAAGGAGATTTTAGTTGTCAAAAGAAAGAAAAAAAAGAAGCTTTTAGTCAATGACTAAATTAATTACCTAACGAATAGTAAAAATAGAATAGGACGAGAGAAATAGAGAGAGAGGGAAGTGTTTGGTCATGTTTCATTTTCCATTAAATAGAAGCAAATCATACTTCAAAAATCTTCACTCTGCTGCAACCTTTTATTCCCTCTTTTTCCCCAAGGAATCGCTAAACAATTCATCTAAATTTTCCCTTTCATCTTTCAATTTGTAAGAGACTATTTATTCTTATAACAAACCAAAAAAACAACACAAAACACAAACCCATCTAAGCTGCTTCTGTAGCTAGTCTCTCTGTTTTCTTTTCTTCTTTAATTCTAGGTTGTCCTCATAAAATCCAGTACAAGAATGTGGTGGTGGTCATCATCGTCGACGAAAGTCCGATCAAATCTAGAGAGGTTTCTTAGAGGAATCACTCCAAAACCTCCTTCTTCTTCTCTATCGAAGGTACAATTCTTTTGTTTTCATTTTGCAGTGAAATTTTTTACCTTCCGAGAATGTTAGAGGATCCATGTGAAGCATATTCTCAGGTTTTCAACTAATTATTTTAGTAAGATATTTTTTTACACCAAATCTTCTATACTAAATTGGTGAATTTTACGGATAATGACAGATAAATTTATAATTTCATGGCATTTCGTGAAGTTTTCCGTCACCACGTGGAAATTCGTGACATCAATATGTGATTGAGAATGATACTCTAATATATTTACAAAAAAAAATTGATACTCTGATATCTATATAATTAATTAATATAAAATATCTAATACTGAAATTGGTATGGATATTCTAGACAGGTAGGTATATCCTCTGAAGGTGTCTTCTTCATCTTTATATCATTAGATGGCTGGCTGTCTCATTCAGCAATTATTGTTATTAAATGCGTGATTAATAGCATGTGGTTTAATTAATACCATTGTTGAAATACACTGACATTAATTAACACTATCATTAAATACGTGGAGGGATTGAACTCTTTGTAAGCTACTATTAGTCTCCAAGTTTGATCATTCGTTGTTAATTTGCAGAGTTGCGAGAATGTCTTGAATAATTTATGGACTCAACATAGCAAAGATGAGACTGAATATTTCAGGCTCAGTGAACTTTGGGACTGTTTTGATGAGCTAAGTGCGTATGGACTTGGATCAAAGGTTGAGTTGAACAATGGTGAATCTGTTATGCAATACTATGTTCCGTATCTATCGGCCATTCAACTCTACACTAGCAAGTCTCCAGCCTTTTCCAGGTAAGATTGATTATAGTGAACTTAGTTGAAGACAAGAGTGTTTTTTTGTGTTACAAAACTTGAGGAGTGAATCTATGGTTGGGTTGCAGGAACCAGAGTGATGTAGTTGATTTTGAGAGTGAATGCTGGAGTGATGATAGTGAGATTGAAAAGTTGTCAAGGTCAACCAGTAGTGGTTCTAGCAAGATATGGGATTCAGTTTCTGATGACTCGGCTTATGACACTCCTCTGTCAATGCAAGATAAGCTTGGTTGCATTGAGTTTCAGTACTTTGAGTCAGCTAAACCGCACTTGCGAGTTCCTCTTACCACCAAGGTTTTCATTTCTAGCGATTCTATGTTCTTTATGTTCTTTATCGTGCCTAAAGAACCTAACAACTTAGAAAAATCTCTCTTATGTTGGTTTGCTTTAGATAAATGAATTGGCTGAGAAGTATCCGAGAGTTATGACTCTAAGGAGTGTTGATTTGTCTCCAGCAAGTTGGATGGCCATTGCTTGGTAAGTCTAGAAATGATGCTTGTTTGATCTCTGTATGCAAGTGTTCTTCGGCCTTGATCGTGACAAAGTTCTCAACCTTTGTTGTTGTTTTAGGTATCCAATATACCATATTCCATCTCAGAAGACAGATAAAGACTTATCAACGTGTTTCTTGAGTTATCATACGCTGTCTTCGGCATTGCAAGGTATATACATAAATTGTAATAAAATATTTTAGCTTTTAGACATGGTACAAAATGTTGAAACGTCTAGCTTTTGATGTTTGATATACTAGGTAATTTGGTAGAGGGAGACGATGAGAACAACAAAAGTATGGAAGAAGAAGCATTGTCATGTGATGATGAACCAATGGTGACCAAGAGACTCCCTTTGGCTCCTTTTGGTTTAGTTACATACAAAATGCAAGGAGGTTTGTGGGGGAAACAAGAATCTGGAGACAAAGAACGTTTAGTTTATCTTGGAAGAGCAGCGGAGTCATGGCTGAAACAGCTTAATGTTCACGATCACCATGACTACAGCTTTTTCTCTCTAAACAAGAGCTTGTAAAACCTCTGTTTTTCTGCTCGGTTTTTTAGTTGTTTTCTTAGAGCATCTTCATCGCTCGTTTCTACGCGAGTTTTTTGGGACAAAAGTTGGTGTAGGTCCCACCAATAACGAAAATACGTTGCCTTTTGTCGCAGAATAAGAAACGTATTTGGTTCTGTGTCGCGGGCCCCGTGACACGTGGTGGCCCGCGGTTGGCTCCTTTTAATTTTTTTTTTTTTTTTTTTTTTTTAAATCAAACAAGAAAAAAAAAAAACAAAAATAGAA